CTGCCTCCTGGATTCAAGCAGTTCTCCTGCCTCAGCCTCCCAAGTAGCTGGGATTACAGACACGTGCCACCAAACCCAGCTAATTTTTGTATTTTTAGCTAATTTTGTATTTTTATTTTTGTAGAGATGGGGTTTTATCTTGTTGGCTAGGCTGGTCTCAAACTCCTGACCTTGTGATCCACCTGCCTTGGCCTCCCAAAATGTTGGGAGTACAGGCATGAACCACCACGCCCAGCCTTCATTATCTGTTTTATGTGTGTTTTTTATATGTATCTTTTTAAGAGTTTTTTCATTAGTGTTAGATTTGTTCTTCTGCAACATTGTAAAAAAGATTTAGGTGTAAGGTAATATTAAGGTATTTTTAGGGGGCCAAACTGCAGTCATTTAGAACCAATATGCGTTGGCTGAATGTTTTTTTTTTTCTTTGCCCAATTGAAAATAAAGCTGTTTTCTTTAGAAGGTAATGTGCTTTTGAGTTGAAAATGTTATTTTATTATTATTTGTAGCTTTTCAAGTGCATTTGTGTAGTAAGGAAGGTTTTGAGCTTTAGCTGTTTTATATGTCTAAGAAATGATGGGGGAGAATTGAGGTTTTTTTTTTTTTTTTTTTTTTTTTTTGAGTTGGAATCTCACTCTTTCACAGAGGCTGGAGTGCAGTGGTGCAGTCTCTGCTCACTGCAACCTCTGCTTCCTTGTTCAAGGGATTCTTCTGCCTCAGCCTACCGAGTGACTGAGACTACAGGCGTGAGCCACCACACCTGGCTAATTTTGGTATTTTTAGTAGAGACGGGGCTTCACCATGTTGGCCAGGTCGGTCTCGAGCTCCTGTCCTCAGGTGATCTGCCCACCTTGGCCTCCCAAAGTGCTGAGATTACAGGTGTGAGTCACTGCACCCAGCCACTTTATGTTCCTTAGAGAACCAGCTCAGCCCAGTGCTTCTCAGCCTGCAGGCCTCAATTCTGGAGCAAGACTTTTGGGCTCCACGCTTCATTGCTTTGGAATATATTACCATCTCCAAATCTCAGTTTCTGTGTCTGTAAAATGGGTCAGGCTTTTCTGGTGATAACACTGAAAGTCTTGCATCCCAGGACCCCCCTCAGCCCTAGGCATACCTGTTGGTCACCCCAAAAATGGGGGAAATGAAAGTCCATGTGGAAGAGTTGTTTGTCAGGTTGGGATGAACAGTGTGTACTGGTTACTGAGCGTGGCACCTTTCAGGGCCTGCAGAGAATGGGAGAGAAAATTACTGCTCCTTACACAGAGTGGCAGAGTCCATGGCCTGAGTGTGATGCCTAAGGCCACCACTTACAGCTGTGTGCCCTGAGTTTACTTCATCTTCCTGGGTCTCTGTTCCCCCAGATGTTAAGAGGATGATAATGGTGTGGGCTTAGAGAGTATAGGAAGGATACAGTGAAATCACAGGTCAAGATCTTTACCAGAAAGTGGGCACCTGGTGCCTGCTGGGCAGGGGTGCCTGTGGTTAATCATCTTGTGGCTCAAAAGGTGTCAAGAGCTTCTGAACACTTAATGCTGTATTTTGGGCCTGGAGCCCCAAAACCAACCAATGGGACCTTTTTGTTGTTGTTGTTGTATTTCCATGCAGGACACAGAAGAACCAGTGAGGACTCTTACCTTGTCTCTAGCCTTCGTCCTTTTTTAAAAAAAATAACCCGAAGAATCAGATTTTTGGGATGAAAGAGGGTACTCTTCTCTAGCTCTCCCAGGGGTGCAAGGAGGACAGTGTCCATGAGGGGGCGCCAGAGCACCAGGCCCGGGGCCGCAGCCTCCCACACATGCCGGGCCTGGCCTGTGGGGCCAGCTT